CCAAAGTTCAGTGTGGGCCTGTGCCCACACTGGACTATACTTGGCTCCGCCCCAGATCATGATCACCAGCTAATTGCTGCGGTCACCGTTAGGAGAGTCTTGAGGACCATGGTAATGGTTACGATCACCAGACGATGAACTGCGACTAAAATTGGAATAACCATGATGACGAGAGAAATGCACATAGATGGACTCTATAAAAATAGATGGTCGTAGTAGAGAGAGGAAATATGAAATTTGCTCAGAATGGGAAATGTAGTTCTGGCATATATATATATATATATATTATCATGGACCTTTGTCAAATATTATACACAAAAGAAATAAGAGTTGGTTAGACATTCAATAGATCCTAAGGGAGCACTAAACATCTAGTTACATAATCTATGTGTATAATTAAGAGCATCTTTGGCCCAACTTATTTAAAAATATATATTTTTTACGTAAATTGATTTTTAATTATATATTTTTTCAATAAAATAATTTTACACAACTCTGACCTATAAAATTTCTCTATTTTTTATTTAGCTAAAAAATATATTTTTTACTTAGCTAAAAAATATATTTTTTACTTCAAGTAATTTCTGGTAACTGTCATCATGAAAATGTGAAGATCTTTTGTCTTTCTCAAGTCTGTAATGGAAAATAAATAATAAATAATTAAACATTTTGCCCTTGTTTGAGCTCAATTCTTGAATTAACATATTTTTGTCTTTTTTATTTTCAACAACACATTCTCTAATAAAATAGTATTACACGTAAATCTAAAATAATTCCTTCTCATTAAATTTTCAAACATAGAAAGGGAAAAATTTGTACTCACTAACACAAATTAATATGGAACAAATTCCATCATTATCTATGCATGTACAAAAAACTACAAAATATATTAAATTAATTGTAAACTTAAAACATCAGTGTAAAAACTAAAATTCAGATGTCTTAGGTAATAATTTTTCTAAATTTATATGAGATTTAAGTATTTTCTGAATTTTCTATAGAAAGGACGAGTTTTTGTATTTAGCCTTTGTTGATTTTCATTATTTTCAAAATACATTTTTCTGTATCTTCTTTTCAACCATATATCTTTCAATAAAATAATATTACACACAAATCTAAACTTTTTCTTATAACCACACGTCATCCATCAACCTATTATTCCAAAATGCATTAATTTAAAAAAAAAAAAAAATTTTTTTTAAAAATTCATGTGTAATTTTTTTTTTTTTTTACGTATTAGCCTGGTCTGTGATCCGGTCCTGGATCCGTCCCTGATTTCATGTATGTCCAAGCCATTATATTGCGTCCTCACAATTTGAATTCATGACATTTCTCGTAAGAGAGATTTTAGCTGAGCGTATTATATTCTATTCTGTCATAATTTCTAAATAAATTACTTATGACAACGTGACTATATAAAATTAGCCTTTTAGAGGAGTAATAACCCAGGATGTTGTATCTTTCATTCGAACAGTTGGGATTCATTTACGTTTTGAATTTCATAAAAAAGAAGGAAATGAAAAGTACACACTTGGAGGAATAATATTTCACTGAATGTTTGGTAACTGGTTGAACACGACAAAGAATAATATTTTTTCTTGAATATGTTTGGTCTCCAATTCTCCTAATTGAACGTCTGTGGACAACATGTCGAATTTGACAAAACATGCGCTGTCGTGATTTAAAATGGATACATTTTACAAAAATATTTGACATTGTCTTGTCTAGCTTACTAAACACCCCATTTTGCAAACTGGTGATCAGTATAATCCATATCGAATAAAGATGAAAATATAGACTAATTTATAAGAGTTTGGACTACTCCTCTCACCTTTTAAAATAGAACCTCAAATCTCAGTATGGTATTAGAGCCTGTTAGTTTCAACAAACAATTCGATCCGATTAAGATTCAAAAAATTGAGTACACGAATTTCAAGATTGGTTTGCTCAAACGAGCCACCGTCTTGATATGCAGTGGCGGACCCAGCACCCGGCCAGGGGGGACGGCTGCCCGTGCTGGGATCCGCCGGAGTAGTTTTTGGGAAGAAGTGTTGACCATCTATTACATCCCTTCTCCTCTATATGCCAAATAGGAGGTTAAATATGGGTCTCTGCTTGATTTTATGATGTGAAACTATCATAATAAAAGTAGATGTATTTCAGCTGAACGAGTTCATTGATTTATGTTGCACACTTGCAATTGTAGATTATATATATAATTTTTACGTTTTAGCGTGTTTTCATATATATTGAATAATTTTTAATATTATATAATTAAATATTAATAAGCGACCTCGCTTTTACGATCGCTGATTGTCGACGGCGTTGACTGGTCAACGTCCGCCCGGGTTGGACTTTGATGCTGGGTCCGCCACTATTGATAGGGCACGTTAAGGGATAAAATCTCACATCGAATAAAGACGAAAATATAAACTAATTTATAAGAGTTTCAGTTAACATTTTACGTAAAACCTCAAATCTTAACACAGTAGTGAAAAAACCGCACATCTAAACACCTAACCACTTGCTATTGCTGTAGATGATCCTGCTGGTGTGAAGCATGAGAAGCAGAATTGTGGCTTACCTCTGTCATATTTCAGATTCATAGCAGTAATCCACTGATGAAGCTCCTTTAAGGTTTCAGATTGTTGCTTGGTTAGCTTCAGAATGAGAATCTGAATTTTCACGCAGCATCTTCAACGAATCATCAATCCGTTGGATTTCTTACCTTCTAGTCCCCTCTGCTATTAGGATCAAAATAGGATCATGTAAAGTTTTGAAATATAAAAGATATGAACTAATTTGATTGAAGCTGAAAATTATGTATCTATTACTTCAAAGAAGAATCCAATTACTTTGTACACAGAGCAACAAAGAAAATATATACAGCAATGACCAATGAGTAGAATCTTTTCTAACGAACTGGCTGACTAACACGTGAAAGAAAAACGAATAAAACAATACAATGCTGTGCAAAATTAACTGCCTAACAAATCAGCTTCTAGATTGTTCTTCTGCTGCATCCTTGTCACCGAATCCAGCTTGGCTATCTTCTTGCTAACTGTGTAGGTGACTCATCAGATTGGAATGATTCATCAGATTGAAATCTTGCATCTTATCTTGAATATTCAATATGGCTCTATACCAGATGCAGGGTATGTATTGGGAGGAAAATGGATATTAAAAAACTTTATTTCTCAAAGTGAACTAAGAATAGTTAAATAAATCTACATTACAATAACAATCCATAAAATAAAAACTCCATTAGAGCTACTTAATCCAATCAATCTCCAAATATAATCCCATAAATACTGCAGCATTTTGAATAATCCCTGTGATATTTTAATTATTGCTGCTATTTAATTACCAATATTCCCCCATAATTTCCTAGCTCAATTTAAGGAAGGCACGTAACAACCAGGGGAAAAATTAGAGAGGAAATCTTGAGGAGGAAGAAGGCAAGTTCTATTTTGCATAGNCCCTTCAATTTTTATTTTTTTTTTGTTTATATTTATGATGTATAAATCTCCAAATTCAGTCCATGATCGCGATTTTCTTGATGGTTTCATTGTTTTCTGCTTTTGGTAATATAAACCGATTCTCTTAATTGCAATTTTTATGTGCGCAAGAAAAAGAGAAAAAATAATAATCTCAAGGAAGAGGGAGGAAAAGAGAGAGAAAAAAAAAAAGCTCTTTTTTTGGGTATATTTATGCACAGAGACAAGTACTGAGTTTATTACAAATGAGAGCATTGTTTTCTGAAGATCATGTATGCTTTGACCTGTGACAAAATAGAACACGTGTTACTACATCTGTACAACGAATGTTCTACTACCTTCCTCTCTCTGTGTATATATACATGTATGAGAATCTGTGTATGCACAGCGTAGTATGGGTATGTACTTGTATATCTTATGCTGATTTTCCTTTTTTCCTTTTTGTTAATTTTTGGCCAGAGAGTAAATTTGGGAGTTTAAAGCATGGAAATTGGGACAAAGGCAATGGATGAATTGTTAAAAATGGCACAAATAGACGCTCCCCTTTGGCGCAGGAGCTCGGAAGGTGATTGGTATATACTGAACGAGGAGGAATACGTGAAAATGTATCCTAATGATATCCACAGGAAATGCGAAGGTTATTTCACAGATGCCACAAAGAAGACTGGTTTGGTAATGTTAGACAGTTCGTCTGTTGTTTCGATATTAATGAACTCGGTGAGAATTGCAATCTCTTTAATATTTATTCATATCTGTTAGTTTCAAGTTGAATTAATCCTTTGTTGCATTTTGTTCATAGGACAAATGGGCGGAGACATTTCCCTCTATGATTAAAACAGCGTCAACTAAAGTAGTGATATCAAGTGAACTTAAGATGGTAAGTAATGTCTTATTCTACCTCTAGTTTTCCAATCCCAATAGCCCATTAACCATTTTTTAGTTTATTCAATTATCGATAGATGGATGCAGAGTTCCAAGTACTATCACCCTTGGTCCCGGTTCGCAAGGTTGAGTTTTACCGGTTCTGCAAGAGGCACGACGACGGCATGTGGACTGTCGTCGACACGCCTTCCCTAATTATCCATGAAGATTCTTTAGCATTTCCAGATTACACGAGGCTTGCCTCTGGTTGTGTAGTGCAGGATATGCCTCATGGCTTCTCCAAGGTAAACTCATCTTCCCAAATATGAATTATTTTGTTGGCTTGTTTTGATTTATTTCAACAGCTCAAGACTTGTTTTCTTCACATTTTTTGAGTCTATCAAGAGTTGGCATCCTTTGCCTTTGTGTTAAATAAGTTATTTGAAGCAACAGGGGCTTGATACGTGCTGCCTTTAATTTTCAACATTGATAGAATAAAATAAAGAATTTTATGTTTTTCTTTCAATCTCTGAGTTGTCTCGATCAACACTCCAATGGCCAAATTTAAATTTATATCTGCATATTAATATACCTGGTTTTAGTTTTTCATAAAGCTTGTGTTTTTCTACTCAAGACAGTATTTTGATTTTTGCATGTAGCCCAGATTTGTATGTATATATATTTTGTAGTCAGGTGAGCATTTAAGCCTAGGTTTGGCTCATTGCTTCTAGGAATTTATAAAAACCTTGATCAAAAAATACTTTCGTGAAACCACGTTTATCTATCCGTTTCGTAGAATTCACAAGTACCACCTACTTGTCCAGTATGATAAAATCAAGGAAGAAAAACTGTAGAAAAATGAACTTAGAATAAATGGCAGGGAAGAAGATGAATATTCATTCATTCAATTTGAGAATTACAATGCATACAAGAGCTCCATTTATCGAGAAACATAGCTAACAAACTATCTAACAAATTAAGAGGAAGAAGGATCTAAAAGAGATGCATGTGCTGGTGAACGTGAACTGAAGAACAGAAGAACAATCTGGAAGGAAGCGTGTGAACTGATGCTGGACTGATTTGTTGAGATGATAATATTCTAGCACAGTATTTAACCCCTGTTTGAGCCCCGTTTTTTTTTTTATATATTTTATAGAAAATAGGTTTTGTAATAGTTATTTTTTAAAATAATCTGCGGTTAAAAAGTAGAAATTTTTTTTGAATTTACGTGCTTGACAAAATATGTGGGTGAAGATGTTTGAGAAAAAAACGAATTTTAGGATAATGGGCTCAAACAGGAGCTTATTTACTCCATTTATAAACACCTTGCCATACATATTGTAAGTCGCTGTGATTTGACTCAAACATTTCTCTAAGCTCCTCCACAGTCCACCTGGTGCCTGCAAATGTCAACTCTTTAGAACATTCTCTTTATACGCTTAAATACTAGGGTTCTGTGTTGAGTGTCATTGAGCTGATCAATGGTGTATTAGAATTCAAGAAACTTGTTGTTAGAAAATGATTTTGTCGTTTGATGTTCAGGTTATATGGGTAGAACATGTACAATACGGTGAAAGTGCAATACATCACCTTTACAGAAGTTTGATTAAAGCTGGCATCGGAATCGGAGCGCCAAGGTGGATAGCCACCTTCCAACGGCAATTGCATCGCAACATCCTCCAAAAAAGTTATGGCGTGCCCATTGGGAATGATACCGGTAAATCTGTCTCTTTTTTATTCAAATTGAAAATAAATCGATCTTTTTATTCTTTAAATGTGAAGAAGTATGAAATTTTTCATTTTCAGCCATGGATGCAAATGCTAGAAGATACTTGTTAAAGCTAGCTGAGTTTATGACCAGAGCCTTTTGTGCTGTTGTCTGCCCGTCAAGTGCTCATTATATGGATGAAAATCTCCGTATCACGACCAGTGCGAGCATGGCTGACTCGGGAGAACCAGTCGACACTCTTGTAAATGTCACAACATCTCTTAGGCTGCTACAATCTCCGCAAAGTCTCTTTGATTTCCTATGTGACAAAAATATTAGGCAACAATGGGGTTTAGCTAACATCGCCTTGCAAAAAGAGTACCATATTGCCACGGGCGAAGATGGCAAGAACGTCTCCCTCCTACGACCAACTGTAATTCCTATTATATCCTATACGTATGCTATTATATAATTGTGTACATGACACATATTGAGACTATGGACTAGTTTGTCCAACATCACTTTCTTTAATGAATAGCAATGGTTGACGAAAACAGTGTTACACACTAAATAATAGCACAAAAGTAATTTCATGTAAATATGTTGAAATATCGATGACTGATATGCAATTTCGGCAGATCAAGGGAGAAAAGTGGATGCTCCAAGAGACTAGGAGAGACGAGTTGGGAGCGCTTGTGGTGATCATGCCTATTGATTCTCTAACAGTTGAAAATGTGTTGAAAGGTGAGGATTTTACTAATATCCCCTTTGTCTTCTCGGGGTTTGCCATCGAACCTAATCTGGTACCACCTTTTACACCCCCTACGAGTAGGGGTCCATTCTACGATGCAAAGGCATTGCTTCTGACTATGGTCAAGAGGAACTTGGTTGTCCATCCTGAAATAGTCACACACGAATCCATGAAGAAGTACAGTAGGATCATGAAAGAGAATGTGCAAAGGATCAAAGAGGGTCTCAACATATTAGACTAGTTGTGATTTTAGTGAATTGAAGTTATATTTTGAAATGTTAAATGTGCGGAAAATTGTGATAAAGGCTTTTGAATTCTTAACTTGATTCAGGACTACCAATGATTAGCTTTAATATTTTAAGTCAAATTTTCGCCATTAAATTGATTTCGTACAATTTGTGATTCACCTAAATTTTTTAAATTGGAAATTTTTTTAGGGTAAATTATAGCCACCGTTTCCAACCTTTGCACTTTCTTGCAATTGCATTCCAATCTTTATTCCAGACAACCATAATCTTAACCTGTAATAATTTAATGCGAGAATCGTATTGTGTGCAATGTGTTAAAATTCAGTGATCATTGTAGCATTTTAAAGTTCGTTAGAGAAAAACAGCACTGCTGCAGTATTCTTTCCGGCATAGAAGCTCATTTTAGTCAAACGCAAAACAAATTGGCTCTTTAAATTTGGGGACCAAAGAAACGCAAGCTGTGGAACCAACCTTATTGACTGAGTCACATCATTCTCTCTATAATGATAAGAAGAAATTAACCAAATTCAAATTATTATAAACAAAAGGAATTTTGATACTCCTAGTACACCTGTAAACCTCAAGGACAAAAGTGGTATTGGTTTCATCGTAACGAAACAACAGCAAAATTCAAGGAGAAACATTGAATACTTGTACACCATTTAATTGTCAGCAAGAACAACTAACTCATATAGAACATGCTGGGGCTGGTTAAGAATGATCGAAAAGTTTTGCACTATAATATGGAGAAGAAGGTACTGTTTTAAATGGATTTGAGTGAAACTTTAAAAACTAAACTTATCAACCTTACAAAAATTAGACAAAGTAATGGCAAAACACCATAGAAATTATATTAAAAAGGCCAACGAAATTGGACAAAATAACACCAAGAAAGTGAAAGCAAAGTCGTGGCAAGAGTTAATGACAATCAACTTCCAAGATACAACGACCATCTTTTTGTGTTTGTAGCACTCCAAAACAATAGAACAACAAACTAAAATATAGGTTTATGTACTCCATTTGAATGTAATGGAAAAACAATTTTTATGCATAGTTTTGGCTAAGAAAATATAAAATTTTATGTTATACTATGATTGCATATCATTGGGATAAAATAAAGGACGTTCCAAGGGTTTTCTTTATAGAGAAGAAGATGTTGAGAGTGAAGAAACATGTCTCAAAACTCAGAAACATTTAAAAAGAGTTGCAGGATTTGCTGTCGTCGTGCATAAAAAACAAAGATCGTGTCGCTCGAGCGACTATCTCAACGATTGAGTGATAGGTGAGCGGCGGAGTTAAATAATTCTTAGCCAGTTTTCCTCTCTTTCCTTTCCAATTTTGGATCGCAATTTCTCATTCATTTGGAATTCGTTTTGAGATTTCAAATATACTACAACGAATAGAATAAGTTAGTCCTTTTATTTTCATAATTTGACTATCGAATCAAGTCTGAATATTTGACCGAAATTGATACGAAAGTCAATTTTCCATAGTTTTATACTTAATCAATTCCAACAGAAGAATCTTGCACAGTCATTGTTTGTTTTGACTTTAGTTGAAGAATATGTTTTATGAAAATTAGATTTTAGTTTAACGTAAAGTCTAAAATAATATAAAAAGTCCAAAATGAGGATAAATATTAGCGAATGAATTTAGAGTTGTGTATTTTATTTGATCTTATTCTTGTATATTTAAGTAAATTTACATAAGGTTAAAAATATAATATAATTTTTTTAAAAAAATAAATATATAAGAATGGTAGATTAAAATATCGATTCCAAAAAAAGGAAAAGTTTATGTAACTTCCCTAAAAAGTAATATAGCCCCTGCTTGGTTTTGTTGGGAATCATATGTGTAGTAGAATATGGAACTTTGAAAATTGTAATTTTTAAGTTAAAAAAAGTGACCCAAAAAAACAAAGCAATCGTTGCATTAGGTAACACACTTTCTTTTGAAAGTACCAAATGCACATACCCACAACTCAAGTTTGCCTAAAGACCATAATACCGTTGCCATTAATTAAACAAAATATACCACTTCCGTCGGTTAAATTATGCATCAAATCGAAAATTTAAACATGGGCAAAATTATTTTTGCTAAAAACAAAAACAAAAGCATGAATGTGATGGAATGTTTTATGCTATCGAATAAATTGAAAATGGAATTCATCATTTAATACTGGGTTAAATCCAAAGACGATCACCCAACTTCATATTTAGTGTCACATTGGTCACTTAACTTTATATTTAGTGTTACATAGCCATCCAAATTGTTTTTATTTTACCATGACAACCCAATTTCATACTTAGTGTCATATTTATCATCCAATTTGATTCTTAAATAAAGTTACTGGTTGACTGAAATAAAGTATGAAGTTGGGTGATCATGATGAAACAAAATAAAATTAGGTGGCTATGATGAAACAAAATTAAATTGGATGGCTATTTGTGGATTTGAGTCATTTGACCCTTTAATACTTGAATTTTTGAAGTTGGTACGGCATGTTTGTTTATTCTTTATATTGATATTATATTTAACATATGCACAAACAAGTCTGGGTGGTGTAGTTGGTTATCACGCTAGTCTCACACACTAGAGGTCCCCGGTTCGAACCCGGGCTCAGACATATTTAAAGTTACTCTTTTTCTTTCCTACCTCAGCACTGACAATGTGCGCCTACAACATTGTACAGTTTATTATTTTTCCAGTTATTCCCTGTTGCATTGAATAGTACAAATTTACTAATAGCTTAAGCTGTTCGATAAAATGATATATCCGATAATGATATAACTGTATAAATCAGATGTCTTTTTAGCAAACATAAATGTGGTTTCCCTAGGGTGGAGTCGAGCCTGTGCAGATCAGACCCCACCCACTTTGCAACTCTACCAACACTTGAAACCTTTCAGAACAATATGTATTTCACCCAGCTGAAATCAGAGTCTATAGCCTCTTAATCACTCTGTTCATGCATTTTCTATCTATACGAGGCAAGTATCAAAGCTTTTGAGCAATACTTGGTGCACAAGGCACACGAAGAAACTTTAGAAAAGAATTCTCATCAACCGGAGAAAAATTAAGATAAAATAATTTCGCTTCCTCATGAAATTTGTTGAGGAGAAGAATAAAATCGCGAAGACACAATGTCTCTTAACTAGTAACATATACATCAAGTCTTGGTATGTATATTAAGCACTCAATACAACTGTAATATTGACATTCACCACAAGAAAAATGTATCATCAACAAGTATAAAAAATTTCTCGTGTTTTTTGCGATGGATCATACAAACTTTGGTGGAGAAGTCTAACACGACCATAATCAGAAAAGTCCTGTTTAGTTATCCCCCAGACTATGGATGTTTGTCTGCAGCATTGGAAGGCAGTTTGCCAATCTCACTTTCTTGATTTTTCTTCTTTGGTCCGAAGATGAACTCTTTCACTGAACGTTCAACTGATAATATTTTGTTTTTTATCTGTCATTTCAAAGGCAGAAATGATAAAAATAAGGTTGTGGGTAACAATTATTGGCAACATGTTTCTGGTTATTATTAATGCATACTTTTTTGTCCCAACAAATGTAAAGGCATACATCACAAATGAAATATTAAAAGCAAAACTGCATGCACATATAACTTAAATCAAAAGAATTCAAGTCTATCCCCCATGAAACAAAAAAGGAATCAAACAATCCCAAGCGTCAGTAAGTACTATATCTATTGATAGTTCTACAATGTGAAAAAGTAATGAGAGATTCGTAGCGCTACTTAACTTCTACAGAAACCATTTTTAACTTATGAAATGTCATAAAAAGACAACTTTATCTTATAATAAAGAGATGGGGAGAACTTCGAAGAAACTGCCATCAATCAAGTGAATGTTTGCTTTATTGTCTCAACTTAAATTGATGCACCTGTTGTCTTTGCTAGAAAGGCTCCGCTGGATGACACCAGTATTTTTGTTCAAATGTAGGCCGGCCGTACATTCGATGGTTCCCAAGGATCCAATACGTCCACTTAGGTGTACGTTACCACGATATTGTTTTATGGATAATTTGAAAAGGAGCAGTTTATTGCAGAACGATAAAAGACATGAGTGACTGGATTATATTCTTTCATCAAGAGAGCCAAAACTGTATATCACTTCTTAAAGTTTCAAAGTGGGCAAGTATTTCGCCCAGAAAACAGTTAAACCATCATGAATGAGAAATATTTCGGCCACATTCAGAATTGCACCTATACAATTATCGTATCTTCTTTATGCAACTGTTGATTTGTGACACGTATTTTTTGTAGCACGCCAAAGGTAATCTGCACGTTTCACTACATAGCATAGCATACTGCTATGAAATGTCATCAGTGAGCACCCCAACATTTTGGACAGCTAGACATTAAACGGAAGAAGCTATATCTACAAATTTAACCGGATTTCAATCTAACAGAATTATATACTGACCACAATAACATTTTCTCAGGATGCTTTCTCGATAATGGAAAACTTCAGTAATTCAGTATAAATGATCAGTTTCTCTAAGAGATGATATAAGAATATATATTTTCCATGTGCTCGCACCCAATTTCCAGTGACAGCAAATTGTACAGCAAATTGTACAGTCAATCAATCTAAGGAAATTGCATCTGCTAATTACTGGATCAGTTAAAAAAACTGGCATTGCAAGCGTTCTCTTTTCATTTTGGGACTTCAAAGCAAGCCAATCGAGTACATGAGGAGATAAAAACCCTAAAGAAAAGCTTCTATTAAAAGCTAGCCTTTAGAAGGAAAAAAATACATTTAGAGAGTCCATGCTACCCATAGTAGTACCTAACCGTGCCAAATACATTTTGAACCAATCTAATACTTAGGGAAACTACATTTTCGTTATATCTCGTGATCAAAATTGTCAAATTGGAGCTTGAGCACACATCCTCATCTATCTCTCTAACCACCCTCTGCTTGACATCTTTATAAATCATACCATCCTATCAATTTGATTTGTGGCACTGGAGAGTCGAAAACATTTCTATTGCCATTTTGTGGCATAAGGATTCGTCTAACTGGCTCTGGCTGTAATTAACAAGCATGAAAACGAATAAAAAAAATACAAATGTCAACAATTCAAACTGAATTTTACTTCTAACAAAACTCTATTGCCCCGACCTCAATTAACTTCACATAATGAAGATCGTTAGAGAAAGTAGCCCCAAATTTCTTCCCTATATCACTGACAATTCATAAACCAGAGTCGGGTGTTAAAGGGCAAAATCTCCTTTCGCTTAAAAATTAAAATAAACCATGAAGATGGAACCCAAGTCTCGATATCCGAGTAAACGTGCTTGCCCAACTGCGCGCCCGCACAGAGAAACACAATAAACTAAAGCAAAACCAGACATTACAGAATTTAAGTTCACTAAAAGATGCGTATAGAGTAGACAATTACACTAATATATACGAAATTAAAGGAAAACCCATCAAGAAATTTAAACGAATTTAGAACATAAGGTGCTCATATGAACATACTTACCGGGTCAAGAGCGTTCGGTTCAGTGCCATAGTCAGCAGTGAGAAGGAAATACGAAGCAGTTACAGTAGCCACCATTGTTGTCCTCCTCACAAGCTTGTCAGTTCTTGGGTCCATTTTTTTCTTTTATTTTTCTTCAATTTTTGATTTCTATTTGCTTGTGTGAAAATTGAAGAGGGATATACGTGAAAATGCCAGAACTCAGAAGTCAGAAGAATCTGCAATGTATTTTGATTAAATCTCAGGGATTTCTATGTAATTTTAAGAAATATCTCAAGCCTTAAAAGTGTTATTTAAGAATATTAACTTTTGGTCCTTGTGGTTTGAGTTATTAATAATCTGACCCCAGTTGAAGTGAACAACGTTGAGAAATTACCGAAAAAATGATTTGTAGCCTTTTTTCTGTTTAGTGTTCTTAATACTTGTTTTCGAGAGACTTACTCGAAGAATATAATGCATTTTCCTTTTTTTTTTCTTTTTCTTTTCAGAAGCATAATTGTACAAAGAAAATAAAAAAAATTAACTTGGTCGAAATGACGAATATATTGCCATTCGTCATAAGTCATTCTAAAAGGCCAATAACCTTTGTTCTTTTGTTACCCCATACCGGGCCATACGCCACCACGAAGAACCTTCGTTTGATTCCTACTCCACCACTATCGGAACCTAAGCTTTAGTTATTATCAACATTTAACAAGATATGCAATAAGATCTACCGGTGTGTGCATGCATGTGTGATTTGCTATCAAAATTACTTACGAGTGGCATTCCAAAAGAGCAAAATTTCTTTCAATTTTAATCAGAAACTAGTTAATTGATTTTTCTTTAGAAAATGCGGTGTCAAAGAATTATAATCAGAGTTGTGAAAAGTAGTACTTTTGTCTTTGTTGTGGTTAGGAAGGTGGTCACGGTGCTGATAATGGATGTGGTGACAGTGCCAGATTGGTAATTTGTGGTGGTGTGTTTGGAGAGTTTGTTGTTGGTGGTGACAATGTCTTTCACGGTGGCGGTAATGTTTAGGGTGATTGTTGATGGTGGTGGTGTAATAAGTTATGTTACATGTGATGGGGTAGGTGATGATAGTGATGTAGCATTGAATATTACAGGTGGTGGTGGTGGTGGTACGAGGATCGTAATTATGGTGAGAATAGAAAACAAAATTTATGGAACATACTGCGCTACAAGTGATGAAGGTGGCAATGGAAACATGATGGCGAAATGTGTGCAACATAAATTTAACAAATTTAACACGCTGTATTATAATTAGATATTCAGAGCAATCACATTGCTTTACTTTAATTTACCATCGGTCACTGACTTCACCCTCACTTGCAATATGACCACTGGACTTTAATTCAGAGCAATCACGTTGCTTTACTTTAATTTACGAGCAATTCAGGACACTCTGTTAGTTTTCAATTTAACCACTTAACATAATCAGCGTTGTGATAATTAAAAGTAATAGAATATCAACGTGTTCAACAAAAGTAAATTTCGATTGTGGTCACTGAACTTTTAATTCGAGGCAATGACACCATTGACTTCAATTCCAAATTTCTTAAATAAGCGTTGTGTAATTTTTAATATTATTTTAATTATTTAAGGCATTAGATAAAAAATAATTAAAATCATAAATACTATAATTATTTAATAATTTATACAAATAGAAAATTTTTTAATTTTCAAAAAGTAGATAATTTCAAAGTTCAAACTAGACAACTCATACTCCATATGATCGGGGTCAAACCGCTAATAATATATAAAAATGATAAATATATAAACATGTCAAAAAGATGATATTTTTTCCAAAATTAATTATATACATAGACAAAAATTACTTATTAAACTTGGTTGTAATTAATTTTTATTATGTCCATTTCTAATTTTTTTTTTTTTTAAGAAAAAGTAAGTGTAACAATTAAAAAAAAGTACGTGTAAAAAAAGTATTGTATGAGTTTAACATAATAAAAATTAATAGCAACCAAGTAATTTATTTATTTATTATTAGCCGTTCAACCGCTATTTTACTAAGTGGATGTGTCTAGTTTCAATCCTTAAAATTGTCTAGTTATTTAAAAATATAAAGTAATAATAGTATTTATATTTTAGTTGTTTGTTATACATTATATTATTTATTTAATGGCTTAAAATAATATTTAAAAAAATAGAATAACATTTTGAAATAAAGTCCAATGGTGTGATTGTCACGAATTAAAAGTTCAGTGACCTAAATGCAAATCAGGCTAAAATTCAGTGACCATGAACAAAATTTATTTTGCTGACTTAGCCCTTGTTTGGTACATATTTAAATTTTCATTTTCATTCTTTTACTCATTTTCAACCACACATTCTTCAATAAAATAATATTTTTCATCATATCAATAACTTTTCCTTCTTTTTCAACCACAAATTCCCCATCAATCTACTATTTCAGAATACATTCTTTCAAAATAATGTAGCTCAAATATACCCTTAACACGGTGTATAGAGATTCCGTTACTTTTAACGGTCATGTCACTAGATTCATTACGTGATTGAACCTTTGGAGTGACCTAACTACTCATATTAAAGTAAAGTGATGTAATTGCTCCAAAGTAAAGTTCAGTTGCCTAATTGCAAGTAAGAATAAATTTTACTGATAGTGGATGAAATATATCTTACAAAATTTGTTATAATTTTTTTAAAAGATATTTTGAGGATAAGGATGGACGAAAATAATACATTAGTGCTGCTAATGCACTCTACTTCAAGATTAAAGGTTGGACTCTAAAACACATGAAGAACAACGTCGTTAATGGAACATGAGAAAAATTAAAAAAGAAAATAAGATTCTAAAATGTAAAAGATTATTAACATAATTATTAATTTCACAAGAAATTATCAACAGGGGTCCATAGCTCAGTGGTAGAGCAATTGACTGCAGATCAATAGGTCACCGGTTCGAACCCGGTTGGGCCCTTTAATTCTTTTTTTTTTCTCCTTTTTGGTGACTGTCGGAAAAAAAAAGGCAGTGCTGAAAATTATTATTATTATTTCGTCTAATTCTAAGAGTTTTTGTAACTGAAACGGAGCAAAATCTTCCTTAAAAAAAATAAAATTGTGAAGGATGAAGGATAAAACTCAGTTTTATTCAGCTGGTTTAAAATATTAATATATTAAAAAGATAATTATATCTATAGTCTTTAAAACCTTATGTTGATTGTCAATTATGAGATACACATACTTTGAACCTCGCGAAAATAGAATAAGTCACAAACATATTTAAAGTTAATCATTATATTCACATGATAAATAAAAAATTGACATCAATCAATCAAACACGAATTGAGAATTAAAAGAAGAACATTTGAATTAAAAATTCAACTAACGATTTACACCATTATCCTAGTCATAATGGATTTAACCTATCGTGGTCGTAATACAATAACACATATTAAATTGATAATTCATTACTCAGAATATCGAATTGTAAAAAGAAGGTGGAATATGAATTTTCACCCCCATTGAATGTCTTCTATTGAGTATTCAAGAAATCTTCAAAAATCAAGAATCTTGAAAGTGTACTTATTTTTGTAGAATTTTCAATCAAAAGCTCTCTATTCTTCTTGTTGCCAGGTAAAGAATGCCTAATTGGCCTCCCAAAGTACATTAAAATCGTGCACCCATCACGTACCACGTAGAAATTGAATTGAAAAAGAAACAAGCTCTCAGCTGTCGAAACCAACTATGCGATCGCATGACTTTATCGCGCTATGTTTTGTTGAACATATCGACACCCTTCCAATCACTTGGTAAGCACCATGTGATCGCAAGGTGTTAACTTTTGCCTCCAATTCGACTAGTTCCTTGACTTCCTTCTTCAGCTTAAGTCGCTTCCTTTGTATTTAAGGTCCTTAATCTTCCAAATCTTGACACCTTGGTCCCCATTTTCCATAATTCGAACGCTTTTAGTCCTCCCATCCAATTTCCATTCTGTTTCTCCATAAGCCATCCAACATCGAGTTTTTCCTAAAACAAACAATAACAACTACAATTAAGTATCAAATAATATGGTAAATTAATTATGCTAGGCATCGGACCATGTCACATAGAACCAACCCCAGTCATCTTCAAGCATCCCCAAGGTTTTCCAGACAGCTTTTGAAGCATCAACAGTGTTATTAGCACACGGAGGTTGATAATCAGGGCCTGCATCACATCCCATAGTAGAGTCACATTCATCAAGCACAATTCTTATGCTTCGCAGCTTCGGCGACTCTGACGAATGAGCAGCAAAGATTAAAAAAAAATGCCAATATAGTTCTCAATACACAACCTTTTTAGTGTTATGTTTGCTGAAAGTGACAGGAAGCCAGTCAGATGTTCCAGTTCAGTGTTCAACAGATTATAAGAGCAATTTATTTCATCAACTCTTTTAACATTTTCAAATATTACTTAATATTTCGCCGTGGTTGATAGGTTCTTTATTTTTTTTTCTTGTTTCATTATCTCAATAATAATCGTAAAAGTCACTCAGAGACAGTTTAACGTAGTATGAGAGCTGTAAGTGTTATGCCTTAGGTCCAATCAACTTTGAACATAAACACTTTGAATATATATAATCAATGCATATATATGGCAATATCTATTATTTAATTGAATTAATATTCTAATAAATTAAATAATAGAATCCGTAGATTCAAGTCTTGGTGATTTGTTAATCACAAGGAGTTGTGATTGTG